CCCTGTCTGTAAGTGACTCATAAGTAACTTTAGATCACCGGGTGGTTCCTTTGTTTCACAAAATTTGTTTCACGTTACATGCAATAACTTGCTCTTTTGACAGAGTTTTCTGTAATCTTCTACGCTCCACAAATCTGGAACAAACTTCCAGAAAACTACAAAACTGCTGAAACACTGAGTACCTTTAAATCTAGACTAAAAACACACCTGTTTGGAGTTTCCTTTGAAGCATAATTGACTAAGAAATTAATAATGGCACTTGACTAAATGTAAGGTTTCGATTGTTGATTCTTTGTGTTTTTATGACGTAAAGAACTTGTTGCTGAAATGTAATATACAAATAAAATTTGATTGATTGATCTGATTGAGCTAACATGATGCCAAACATAAACATGTAGTATAGTACAGAGCTGAAGTTGGTTTGCGATTGCAGATCCGAATTTCAGATGTGGTTAAAGGACGACTCTGCCTCATTTTCCAGCATGTTTAATTTGCTCACATTTAAGGACATCAATAATTAACCTCCTCAAACATGGACTAGATTATTTCACATTAAAAGCAGAATATTTTAAAATTGTAAAGCCTGCCTTGTGATTTGCGAAACCTTGTTTGAGTTGAATAAAGGATCATAATAGTGCTTTCACAAAGCGTTTTGGCAATCATACTCACTGTGTTTTGCACTTCCTCTTTTGTTCAGTGGTTACAATTTCCACAGTGAAAACCACAACCTCCATAAAAAGTACGTCTACTCCAAGTAATGTGACAGTACTTCAAGAAACTCTTCAGATCCACCTACCATCTGCAACAGAGCTGAGAGCCATGCATCCTGTTTACGCCAACGAGGCGTACCCTGGACAGCCTGGGGGTCCTGGAGGAGTTCAGCACACCGTAGTGAACGTCCCCATTGAGCCCACAAAGGATTATCTGGTCTGGTCGCTGTGCAGCTTCGTCTACGCAAATTTTTGCTGTCTTGGATTGGGGGCTCTCATCTATTCTGTCAGGGTGAGTTAATAAAATAATTTCCTTAATATAGCCAGGTTCTGTTTGTTACTTTAAAACAGGGGTCACCAACTCCAGTCCTCGAGGGCTACCATCCTGTAACTTTTAGATGCGTCTCTGCTCAAACACACCTGGATCAAATAAACTGCTCGTTTCCAGCCTATTACAGAGAGGAATGAGTGCTGGTGAGGGAATTCAGACATTTTGGAGCAGAGGTGAATCTAAAAGTTGCAGGATGGTAGCCCTTGAGGACTGGAGTTGGTGACCCCTGTTTTAAAAGAAAAAGGGGGAAAAGGAAAGGAACACACAACTCATGAGCTGATGATTATTAGGGTGAAACACAAGTAGTAGACACCTGAAACCTAGAGAGTAGCAATTAGAGTAACGTGGGGTGGATTATTCAAGTTTAAAGATAAATAACTGGTGATACCTTTGTTTCACAAAACTAAAAAAAAAATATACTTAAGTGGCATTTCTGTCAAACCCAGTTCCAAAACCAGATTAATATCTCCAAACTCCAGGATCATGAAATTGCAAAGGGTTTAAAAAACCATTTAAACTTCCTATTTTCTACTTTGAAAGAGTGTGTGTCAAAAATGAGAAGTCAAGTTGTGGTACAACAAATCAAAGATAAAAGTCCCGATGTTTCTTCAGGCAGTAAGCCTGATGAAACTTTGCCGTTTGACCCACAATAGCTCATATGGAGAATAACCCAATGTTCTGCAAATGAACCAGTTTTAAAATAATATATATATTTTTGCTTCTTTCAGGCCAGAGACCGGAAGGCGCTTGGAGATCAGAATGGAGCCCAACGTCACGCCTCCTCCGCTCGCATTTTCAACATCGTGGCCGTGGTCCTGACTTCTTTAACGCTCTTTATTTACATTGTGGTGGTCATTGCTGTGTCTGCAAGACATTAAAGCAACTTTCATATTGTATGAGGGCGATTTGCTCTGGTGCCAAAATAAAACAGTTAAAGTCTGTTTATGTCAAATCTTGTTGTGGAAAATGTTATTCTTCCATCACACCCACTGTTTGTATGTATGTAATTAACATGCCACTGAAACCAGCTCATCCCATGACTAACAACAGCCTTGAGTGAGAAAAAATCACATTCTGTAAACACCTAGTGAATAAATATGAGTGTTTAAAGCTGCAGTGACCAATGAGAGCCTGAAGGAGGGTCTTTTTCTGAAAAGCAGATTTGGTCACATCGGTTTCTGAAACTTGGAAAGTAAAGCAGGAGTGAGTCACATCCTGTTATTGTTGCTTGAAATGTTCTCACAGGTTGAAATCATTAAGGTTGAAAGCATTGAGAAACAGGAACCTTATATTGCTTCAAAAGTAGAAGAAAATATGTTCTTCACAGAGCACTAAAATATGTTGCTTTCTGACAACAGAATTTAATCAGAAACTTGGAGGTGACAGTCAGAGGTTTCATCACAATCCAAGCCAGCTTTACATCAAAAGCAATAAATGAAGTAAAAAGTAAAATAGATTGATAGAAGGTGGCATAGATCAGAGGGTGACTTTTAAAAAGCTCATCGACAGATGCTAATGGCTATGGAGAGAATATAGAACTTTCACTCACTGACAATTGTGAGTGAAAGTTATAGTGTTTTGTTTGGTTTGGCCAGTACGCCAACTTCACTGCTTGGCCACGCCCCCTAAACATGCTCTAAATGATTTTGATAACTTTTACTCCCCCATCGCATAACTACATACTGACCAAAAATAAAGCCAGTAACTCAAAATTCCCAAGGAGGAGTTTGTTAAAGTTCGAGGTGTGTAGACGTGAAAATGACCAAAATTTGCCCTTTGAACCAAAATGGCCGCCTATCTGTAGATTTTAGGGGGTACCTCCAAGAGACTTTTTTTCTTGACTTTGGGGGAGGGATCTACCTATGCACAGAATTTCAGATTTTTGTGACCTATGGTTTGTCCTGTCTTAGATTAGGGGGCGCTGCAGAGCAGTTTGGCCACGCCCACTTGAGATTCCATTGGAACCTGAAAATTTTACTTGGGACACTATTTCAGGTGAAGTTTGGTGAGTATTTGAATATGTTAAAGCCTCCAAAAGGCAGCATATAATGTCAGAAAAACAATAAGAAATTATGTGATTACAACAGGCCTTTGCTGCCCAGGCTTAATAAAAGTTTCCCACAACAA